AACCCAATTAAATTAAAAAAATAATAATTGCATGTATAAATACAACTTTTTTTTAACTGTTCTAATTGTTCTAATTTTTTATAAGTACTATAAGTTGACTTAAATGTGCGACTGGATTCAAGTAATACATAATTGTTATCAAGAACTACATTTAAAACTTTATAAAGCTTTAAAACTTGAATTTACAATGGATACGGGTTTTTACATTAAAATTTGTGGTTACCGATGTTTAAACTAACATGAAGATATCACATTATTCACATTCACATTCATATCCGCTTGAAACCAACGACACAATATTTTAACTTCAATGCGGTCTTATTCATTCAACAGGCATAACAAGAACTTATAACTTAGTTCAGTGATGTTAGGGGTAAGAACTAGGTTTATTATAAGGTATTTGCAGAGATGTACTAATTTTAATTGTTAATATTAATATCCTGCGTAACTAAACAGCTGCTAAATACATACATATAATTTTCTTCTTGTGTCTTTGCGAATGATTTAGTAGGTAACTATCAAAGCGCCGATGTCTCAGCGCGTTATCCTAAATCAGTCTGTTACAAATAACATACGTTAGTACATACGTACATACGCTCATTGTCAGACCTTGTATAATAGTGATAAACATGGGCAATCGCTGGTACCTACTTATTTGTGTTAACATTATAGTAGAAAATGTTTTTACAAATACATAAATATTAAAAACATAGAAATTAAACAATTGCGTCAAAACTTCTTATTTTATTTAAGTTATTTGACGTTACCATTACTTTTTTTGTAATATATTAAATTTCTTTTTGTTTTGTCTTTTAATTAGTTCAAAAAATTACTTAAATAGGGTAGGAGGATGGAGAGGGGGTTCAAAGTGGAACAAAGTCAAGGTTTCTAAACAGATAGATCTGTTTAGAAACCTTGGAACAAGATGGGGTTATATTTTCTGAAAAGGAATACATTTTTCTATTGAAAACACCATGGTTCATTGGTTTCAGGATATTTTGTTAAAGATTGACAACAGATGTCAGTCTCTGCCTGAACTTTCATTTTAATGTAGTGTACCATTAATAGGCTATTGACTATGTATGTACTTTAGATAGGAACTACAACGTAACAGAAATTTTATTATTTGATATGTTCAATTGATCCTAAAAAATGATAAAACCGTTTAAAGGGGGTGCGTTTTTGAGAATGAAGTAGAAGGTGGTATTTTCAGTTTTTTGAGTTTTACTCGAAAACTATGAATTTTTTCTAAATCAACAGAAAGTCAACAGTCAACAGAAAAGTTGTAGCAAATTGAATTTCCAATCGAAATGAGACCTTTTTAAATCAAAAAAATTATTTTTAACAAAAATATGCCCAAAAAACGAGTAAAAAAACCCGAAAAAATGCGTTTTTTTTTCTTTTTGATTTTTGGCCCACAACTTTTTTCTGAGAGGAGTCAGGTATAGGCATTGCTTCACAGAAAAAAAAGTTAATGTGTTTTCTTCTAAAATAAGCCTTTATAGAAGTACCTACGACTAATAGAAACCGAGATACATTGGATCAAGGTTGGCTACTTTTTGGATTTTTGGCCAATTTTTGCCCTTTTTTGACGATTTTCGTCTTATAACTTTTTTCCGAGTTAATTTCTTAGTTTAATTTAATTCCGAGATCTGTCAATTTAACCAACGATACTTTTTTCTTTTTATAAATTTTTTATTACTTTCGGTATTATTTTGTCTAATAAATTTATTTTTGTGAATGTGAAAGTTAAAATAAGTTTCTAGGTGATTGGATATTATTATTTATTTATTTAAACAACAGTTAATCATATATATCTTATAAATTTTCAGTTTCATTTAGTATATTTTCAATATTAATATCAATTTCGTCGTCATCATTTTCTTCAATGTTCTCTTCAGAAAAATCAGGCTCATAAGCATTCTCACAATTTATTAATACATTTACAGGCTATTTAAAGTAAATTTTCAGGTACAGGAGATTTATTATTAAAAATGGGAACTAGCCCATTTATGGAATTTTTCCAACCCCAATCAAGGGGATTTAAAGTACAACCATTCCACTGTTGCATCTGAAAATATACTCTGAACCCATGATGTTTGAGAGCATCAGTTGTTGAAGGCAATCGCGATAAGGTAAACTTTGCACTTGATGAATACTTTTGAAATAATTTAGATCGACAAGTTTTTAGGCTGTCAATGTTTTAACTATACATTATAGTTACAATGCATTCAGATGCAGCAGTGATATCCTCAACACTAGCATTTTCAAGTAAAAATACATCGAGGTTTTGAAAAATTCTTATTTACAAAATTGAAAAAAATTTTTGTAATTGTAATTTTTTAATTAAAAGTACAAAAATAATTAAAAGAATTCGAAATTTTACAAGATAAATATGATTAATTATTGTTTAAATAAATAAATAATTATATTCAATCACCTAGAAACTTATTTTAACTTTCACATTCACAAAAATAAATTTATTAGATAAAATAATACCGAAAGTAATAAAAATTTTATAAAAAGAAAAAAGTATCGTTGGTTAAATTGACATATCTCGGTTGATTTTAATTGTACAAACTTCTACCAGGCACCATTTTAAAGGTCTTGAGACCAGCTTTCATTTGAATATGGCATTACATATACCTAAATTAACTCAGAAAAAAGTTATAAGACGAAAATCGTCAAAAAAGGGCAAAAATTGGCCAAAAATCCAAAAAGTAGCCAACTTTGATCCAATGTATCTGTTTCTATAAGTCGTAGGTACTTCTATAAAGGCTTATTTTAACGGAAAAAACATTAACTTTTTTTTCTGTGAAGCAATGCCTATACCTAACTCCTCTCAGAAAAAAGTTGTGGGCCAAAAATCAAAAAGAAAAAAAACCGCATTTTTTCGGTTTTTTTACTCGTTTTTTGGGCATATTTTTGTTAAAAATAATATTTTTGATTTCAAAAGGTCTCATTTCGATTGGAAATTCAATTTGCTACAACTTTTCTGTTGACTGTTGACTGTTGATTTAAAAAAAATTCATAGTTTTCGAGTAAAACTCAAAAAACTGAAAATACCACCTTTTTACTTCATTCTCAAAAAGGCACCCCTTTAAAAGGTAGCACTCCGCGGTTTTATCATTTTTTAGGGTCAATTGAACATATCAAATAATAAAATTTCTGTTACGTTGTAGTTCCTTTGTACCCTCTTTTTTTTGACATAGTCAATAGTCTATAAAATGTTATAAACATTTTCAGTTGTACTCCTGTGTAGTTTTGAGGCTTGCCGTGACAATTATATCTGTAAAGTGTTAGAAATCATACCAGCGTCATTTTCAAAGTTTTTAAATTTTAATTAAGTCTTGTGTTACAAAAATTCTGCAAGTTTGGAAAATAATTACTGTCACCTGATGAGAAAATTATTTAGATGAAAATCATAAACTTGTAAAAGATGTAACATCCTTAAGAAAATAATCTCTTGTTTTAAAACAGTAGAACATATTTCGCCTAACAATCAATTGTCTTTTTCAAAGGTTATACAATTGTTTGTAATACATTAATTTTATTTTTTCATAATTTGACTCCCGCAAAATAAGTAGGTAGGTACCACTTAACTTGAAGCAGTTTGGTATACCAGCACTGTGAGGGGTCAATTTTGAAATAGCAACATAATTTTTCAACTTTTAGTGGTATCAATGTGATCCTCAGAGTATCTCGAAAATAAAACATTTTGGGCCTCACGGGATCGGGATCTTGGCAAGAGATGGCAAGGAAACCAAAAAATGTTTAGGTTTTTCTCTTTTTTTTTCAAATCAATTAAAATTTTATATTGGCAAGTCGCTGATCGTCGAAGTCGAAGGTTGTTTACAGGTCAAGTCAATTTTTAATAAATGACCCGATATTCTTGACTGCTGAAATTGAGTGAGCGTAAAATTAAAAAATGACCTATACCATGTCTTTGACCATGACCTAAATGTAACTATAACGTCAAACCTCTAAATGAACTTGAAGGTCATGGTCAAGGTCACATTCGAACGTAAAATTTTCCGCTCTTACAATTTCCGGGGTCAAAAGTATACGGTTCCATTTAAAATTTTCAACATGACCTCTAAATGACCAAGGTCATGATCAAGGTCACCGTTGGATTGCTCACTCAACACCCTGCAACTTTTGTCCTAATCATTTTTTTGTTTGAGCAGTATCTTCTGAGGGGGGGAGCTTCCAAACTTTTTGAACACCCTGTATGTGACATAACAATCGACGTTGCTGTATTTTAAAAACATGGGAAAAATATCGCATATTTCTAAATATGCTCACCGATCATTTATCATGAAAGTAAGAGCTTTTTTCCTAATTTTGATTTATTTGATAATAGAAACAAAATACCAATTTTAAACACGATATTGTGGAGATTCGCCCCCTATGTGAATTTCAAAACCTGATTTAAAAAAATGCGGAATGAGGATAATATGAAATAAATACAACTTTTCTTTTGCTTAGTTATGCGTTACTTAGAATGGCAGCCATTTCCGGTAGGTAGTTAGTTAAATTCCATTACAAGGTTCCGAACTCACAAAGCATTATTTAGTTTTTATTTTCAAGTGAATCAAATTGTTGAACTATTAATGAAATCAAATTTGTGTAAGCTAATATTAAATCAGAAAGAATATTTGGTGTTGACAAATAAATTAACTAAACATGCGTAAGCCGCTACGAAAATAATTAATGAAAATAAATTGTTGAAAACAATCTCCATTTTAACATAAAATAAGAGCATGAAAAGGTGACCTGCAAAAAAATGTTAGCTTATTTGTTTAGGCATGGGAATTATTTTTACCGTTTCTGTATTTGCAATTATACTTTGGTTACTACGTTAAGTTAAATCATTTTATTTTGACGCCAAAAATCTGTTTTCTTGCACATGGAATATTTGGAACTCCCTGTATATTTGCATACGGGTATAAATCAGCTATTAAGTAGTTAGACATGATTCGTTCATTATAAAACGTGGTAACGTTTCTCGTCTCGTCTCGTCGTAACGTCACAACATAGTTTTCCACATTCAGTAGCGGATTTAAGTAATAAGAAATACATTGCAAAATCGAAATGTTGCTAGTTGTTTTATACATTATCATATTTCTTTTTGTAATATCAAAAATTACCTGTGGTTGGTGTTACAGCAAAGCTTGTTTAATAGGAAAAACTGCCATTATAACAGGTGGAAATTCAGGTAAGTAACTTTATTGTTAAAATAATAGGAGTAAGTAACGGGGTAATAGGAGTAGGTAGCGGGCAATTTACGCAAGAAGTAATTTTGATAAAAAAACACAGGTTTTTAATTAAAAATTGTATTTTTCATCGATTTATAAAGATTACAGTATAAGCACAGGCAATATAGCTTATCGCTACAGACTGCGTGTTAAATGCTGGAAATTGGCAACCCGAAAAGGATGCAGGCTTTTTTCAGTCGGCATTAGCAATAAAATTTAGCGTGGTAACTACTAACTACTTGGTAATAGGCGGCAATTCTAGCGGTGACTTTGTTGCCAAATAAATTTAATGCATTCAATTAAAGAGATATGGAACTTATTTTTTGTTTGGAATTCACATTTGTGTTAATTGCTAAAAAAAAATCAAGTTAGAATTAAAACTATGAATTTACCTAATTAATTATTTATTTTATATCACCTTGGAATGGTAGAATTCAAAAGCTTGAAATTAATGATTTTAGATTTGTGCGTCGACTTCCAATTTGGTACGATATTAACATCTATATTTAAAAAAATTGCATTATATAGGTTGTGTATCCTTAGATGGGTACTGCTCTCTTATTGTTGATTTCTTTAGATAGGTAAAATAATTATTGACACAAGTGTTGCATATCATGTATGCCATTGGTAGTGCTCATATTTGTGATACAAGGTGTTCGAAAAAAATAACAATGTAAAATTGCTGGAACTCAAGGAGTAGTTGAATATGAAACTTATTTAAAAAAAAAACAAATCATCAATCAATGATCCCTTACAGAGATAAGATAATGCGCTCGCTACTGCGGTTGCAATTTTTGACTAACTTTTTTGTTTTTCGACATACGGACTTCGGACCTTTTGCATCCCACGCAGAAGGGACAATCAGAACCAGGGCTGTGGGGGAGATTTTTAAAATTATTTTTTCAATTCAACGCAACGTTTCCGAGTTATACTGCCTTTTTACTATATGACGTCACACACCTCTTGCTTCCAAAATTTATTTTCCATATAAGGACTTCAGACCTTTTGCATTCAAAGCAGAAGGAACAATCAGGATCAGGGGTGTCCGGAGATATTTTCAGTTATTTTTTTCGATTAAAAACGCACTGTCTCCGAGTTATAAACACTTTTTTATTTTATGATGTCACACACCGTTGGTTCCGATTTATTTTTAGACATGCGGACTTCAGACGTTTTTCACTCGATTACCAATCAGAACCATGGGAGATTTTTTGATATTTCAAGTATTTCCGAGGTACAAGCAAATACCGTCTATTTTTCTCATATGTTGTGACGTCATAGATCGATGACGAAAGCTAAGTCTCCATGGCTAAAAAGGCCACTCGCTCTACCCCACGCTCATTCCCTAGGTGTCCTGAAGATAGAGTGAGAGACAGAGAGAGAAAAGCCCTCTATAAGGACAAAGCCACTCTATCTCTATCGCACACTATAACTTTATCTCTCAAACAATTAGACAAAAAAAATTAAAATGGGTTATTTTGATGACAAAAAATAAAACATAATTAAACGGTATTATTCAAATAACAATAATGTGTAAATATTTTTCAGTAATATCGGCAAATTTATTTTGGAGGCCGAATCCCGTCAAAAAATATTATTAGAAACCTTTGGTGCCCAGAAAACAGCTCCGATCTCAGTCCTTTAGACATATTTTTGTGGGGACACTTCAACAAAATATATTATTAAATACCTCAAAATTTACAAACTATAAAACTGCTGGCCTATTCCAGTAGCGGTCTGGGATGATATATATTTTGTCTGTGATATAAGGTTATGTATGGTATGGTATATCGGATAAATGGCCTACACCACGCGCTCTCTTTTCCTAGATACAGCGCTCAATTTCCTCCTTCAGGGTGTGGGTAGTTGTAGGTTTGTTGGCATTAACTTTAGACTCAAAAAAACTCCAAAGAAAAAAGTCCAACGGAGTTAAATCGCATGATCTGGGCGACCAATTCTGATCACCTAATCGGGAAATTACACGACCAGGAAATGACTGTTGCAGTAATTGAATTGTTTCTCGGGCTGTTTGGCATGTGGCATTGTCTTGTTGAAATCACATGTCGTCTACAACTATATCTTGCAATTTAGGCAAAAAAACTGGATTATCATGACGCGATAGGAATCACTATTAACTGTTATTGCCTGACCAGCAAACTGTAACACCTTGTGGGTGCATTTGCTTCTCAACAATCACTCGTGGATTTTCTGAAAACCAAATGGGACAATATTGTCGATGAACGAAGCCATTAAGATGACTTTGTTCGAAAAATCAGCATCCACTTGTTTCATAATCTATTCAACCAACTCTCTTCGCTCTGCGTGGTCGGTAGTTGCTAAGTCAATTCAACTTTGTAAGTATGAAGATGCAAGTCTTTCGTGAACTTCTCGAAATGTCCAATTCTTGACCACAGTGCCTGGACTTTTAGTAACATTATCACAACCTGCTTCGATGTTTTGTATTGAACGACTTGTTGAAGGACGGCCAAATTGTTTAAGATCATTAATTAATCCAGTCTCCCTGAATTTCTCTATTAATCTCTTCACGGTTGATGAAGTTAAATCACTATTCAGACCATATTTTGTCCGAAGATTGCGAACTGTATAGCCAAACCTTCATTATTTAAAAAATATTACTCAACAATGAAAACGCGTTGTTCTTTCGTGTAGCGCTTAAATATTGCGTGAATTTTGGGATACCTCGTACATTATTATTTCTTTCTTTTCCAAACATAACAATTTGACATCAGTCTATACATATTGTTTAAAATTGACTGGATATATAGATTTTTTATATTTAGGTGTTGGTATCTGTTTGTTAGTAATGATGTATGTAACGCTACTGTTAAACATGCTTCTTTACACCTTCGTGTATACCCACCACCAAACGTTTGCATATAGAATTCAAGAAAACATTAAAAGGAATTTAATATTTATTTATCTTTTCACCTAATTACTCAACGCTTCATTTTAAGTGACATTGCATGTTGAAAACATTTTTTTTTCTCGAAACATTTTAAATGACATTGTATGTTGAAAACATAGTTTTTCTCTAGAAACATGTACGCCTATTAATAAGTGTTTAATTGTAATTACTGTAATTATGAAAGTTTTACATTCAGTCCTTCACTGGTTAATAATGCAAACTGTACCCCTAACTTAATAATGATGTGTATCTTAAAAAATAAGGCAGTTATGAATAATACCCATTTTTTATACTGGATGTTTCAGTTCGAGTGAATCAAACTTTAACCACAAATAAAACTCAATAAATAATTCAGAATTGTCTTATAAAGAAATGGTCGAACTCTCATCGTTTTCACTGTACAGGGCCGTATTGGTCGGTTGTTAAAATCATATTATTTCCGAAATCTTTGTTATGCTTATAACAAATTGATTCAAATTTGGTGTGGTGTTAATATTTACACATGTGCGTAATTTATTGTAAAATTTACAAATTTTTTTAGGTTAGTGGCGTAGGAATGGGTAGTAAAGTGGGATTTTTTTACCCCAACTTCTACGCCAATGACCTAATAACCATTTGGTATTAATTTTTAGATACCGTGGACAATTCTACATAAAAAAGGTATACCTGTTGAAAATCGGTATTGTGTATCGTTTTACCAAAAATCTCAGTTGAATGGGAGACCATTATTCTGATAATTTCTTATCATATTGAATATTCATCCATTTTTTTTTTACAAACACTACCTAATATTCAAAATCTTTAAAATAAAATGACAGTTCCTGTTGACAGATAAGTCGATTATTGCTTAGTTGTTTTGTCATAGCAATCGTTGTGTACGGATACTGTAATTATGCACGCGTTTTTCTCCTCTCAACGCGAAATTGAGAAAAACGCGGTATATTTCTGCTCCATTTTATGCACGCGTATTCTATCAGTTGTCGCCAGTTTCATGCCACACAGTAGTCAGTGAAGCACATGAAAATGGATCCGTGTATATTGTATTTGTGCTATAAAAAAATATGTAATAGAAAACGTAAGAGGCGATGGGCAGTACATCCAATTAATAGAAATATAATTCAATTGCGTCCATTGCATCCATGTCCCGCTTGAACAATAGCTAAACTAAAACTAAAACAAACTGTGCTAAAACTATTCTTGACAGACAGAGCCACTGGACTTGCGACAAAGAGCGCTTTGCATAAAAACGCCGATATACTTTCGTGCTTTTTCGGAACGCGTGTCGCCAAGCGTTCTGTAAAGCCATCGCGACAGAATTGAAAACGCGAGAGCAAATAAACGAGCGTAAAATGCATAAACGTAGTAACTCTATTCAGGGTATCTTGAAACGCGGCGTTTTTGTCAACTCCGCGTTGAGAGGAGAAAAACGCGTGCATAAAAGAGGTCTAATGGACTCACAACGCAGACAACGCAGATTTAAAATTAATATGTAGTTGTAACTTTTTAAAGAAATTATATCTGTTTGAGACAAACGGACCGTTGAATGAGCAAGGATACCTATAATTGCTTCAGAATGGCATAAATGAAAATTTAGAGGAGGTGCCATTGAATATGCTGTCCACCGCATTGTATGCAACAAAAAAATGAGCTCAGAGGGAGAATTCACCACATTACGAATGCAATAAATAATAAACAAGGGATTATACTTATTTCGAATTTACCAGTCGTTTGGCCGAGTTAATGTGTGACATTATAATAATATTAATTTAAAATTTATTTCCTATTCTTAAGAAATTCAATTTCTTATCAGAAGAACGGTCTCCATTCAACTGAGATTTTTGGTAAAACGATACACTGTACCGATTTTCAACGAGTATACCTTTTTATGTGGAATTGTCTACGGAATCTAAACATGAGTCCCAAATGATTATTAGGTCATTGGCGTAAAAGTAAGGGTAAAAAAATCCCACCTTACTACTCATTCCTATGCCACTGACCTACAGAAATTTGTAAATTTTGCAGTAAATTATGCAC